AGTCCTGGAGTGAACATCAACTCTGGGATGTGGCAGGTACATCCAGCTGACAAGTCCCATAAAAGGCCGAAACGTATGTCCTGGATTCCAATGCTAGTCACTATCCATCTTTGCTTTCATGGAAATAGTTCATATTTTAAATAAATAGAAGTTAATTAACTTGCTTATATGCATGAAGATGTAGTAAACATTCAGTTGGAGAAACTAACTGATTCCTTAATGAGAACTTCAGAGTGTTTTCATGAAATATGAAAAACATACATTATATACATCACTTGTACATCATCCATCAGTTATCTCTTGAAAAATTCAACGTTCCTTCGTTCCTGTTGTAAGTACAATTACTCTTCATTTACATTCTTGTTCTGTCTAATTCGATCTTCTTAATCTTCTACTGCAAATCATTCCACGTCTGGTTGGTGTTACACACTACTTATATCTGCTAACATAAGTAACATACACTGCATGTATACTCAGAATGAAGTGATTCCTATTGACAGTGGGAAATGGGAAACTATTTCATGCGTAACTTCATACTGATTGAACAATTTAGTAGCTATCTAAACTCAGTAACTTAGTGGATAACATATTGGTGTTCGAAGTGAAGTGTACTAGATTCAAATCTCTATCTGAACATTAACACTGGGATATAGAGGTGCATCCAAATGAATCAGTCCTATACAGAATGTAGCACGGATTTTGAATTCCACTACTACTACTAAAAGATGATGAAATTCTCTTATTGAAATTGAACTAAAAACTCTAATATTATAACCAAACTACTTTTCGAGTTTTCATTGTGTACAAAAAAGCCTTGAATCCCGCCAAAGTCAGGCTTCCACTCGAGAACAACTGTATTTTCTCCATGAGTGTCTTCGTCAGCATGTTCTACTAACAAGTGCAAGAAACAGACCTTCAATCAACTGCTCAATGGTATGTAAAATTGCTGATCAAAGCGGAAAAAAATGATAAACCTAATGATAACTGATACACATTACAGGACTCACAAATACCAACATATCATCAAGGACCAAAAGATGAAGCTACAAAGGATACTCATGTCAGAACATTTGGAAATCTTGACAACAGTCATCAAGGTATCATGGAGACAACACAGAGAACATAGAAGAAACACCCTAAAGATGATACTAATCAAGATCTCAAAACCACCCATGAAAGAAAATACAAACGACTACGTGGTAAACCTTGAATCCATAATAAAATTATCATTTTAAATGAAACATGTACCTAAACTGGATTTCATATTTAACAAATCAACTTCCCCGACTAATCCATTCAAAAATTTGATAATTACGAATATCCTTTCAATGTATGGATAATACATAAATGATCCGGAATATTTACATTATGTACCCAAATAGATACTGATTTACCTATCTCTCCCTCCCTCCCCCCCTCTATCTCTCTCTCTCTCTGGAAGGTGCATGCACTTGCCTTTACCCCCATGATACTATGGCCTTGATTGTGGAACCTTACTGATAATAATAATAGTATTATTATCACTATTACCATTTTTGTTAATGCCAGTTGTAGTAGAAAAATTGATTCAATCGGAAATTGTAAATTGAACAAACTGGGTGTTTGTTTTTTTAGTCAAAAAATAACGATTATTACAGTTATAGGTAAACATAATTTATAAATGGTGCCATTCTATTATGATTTAAAAATAAGGAAATGATATAGTTACCTTTTTGTCTTGGAAACTAATTTTGTTGTTGTTGTTGTTGTTGTTACTAACGTTGAATTAGTTCATTGATACAAGTTTATATGTACGGATACATAGATGGATAGAATTTTAAAGAGAGATTAGATTGTAATGAACGAAAAATTGGGGTGGGGACAATCGGAATATCGAATTATAGAATCTATTGGTATGATATATGAATTATACACTAAATACATCATTGCCAAATTTCCATTATTTGTCTTTCACATTCTTTATGATTTATCCATTCCATAATCCCTTTACTATTTTACCTTCTATTCTTTTATCCAACTATAAAATATAAATGAAATTTATTACGTGTATCGTGCATATTCCCCCCAAATACCCTAGTACGGCTGAGAGTGAGGACAGCCCACCCACCCGCTCTCACATGGCCACGCCTATACAGCCACTGCCAGGGAATTCCTACTCACTGCCCTCTCGCAGCATTACTGTTGTTTACGAAATGGGAAAGACAAAAGTGAATGTCCGGCGATTTAACCGGGTTGATGAATATGGAGGATCCACCTGGGGAAGTTGGAAAACCCTGATTCCAAACCAATGGTGCACATGGGCTCCAGTATCCTGAGGGAACAAATGGTGTATGAACCAATTGTTAGTCACCGGATACCATAGGACTGTATCTCCTTACGTTGCTACAATGCTTTGTGGATTAGACCTCTAAGTCAAAGGCTCGGAAAATGGCCCCTTAAGAAAACCAACTGCTTTTGTTTGGGCACATGGGCAGTATCATAGCCCTCACAGAAATAAATGAAATGAAATTTTTTTTCGTGGCGCCTATATATCTAATGCCCTTTTGTGCCAATATTTATGTGTTCAAATAAATAAATAATAAATAAATAGCTTAATGTCTTTACATCTTGGTTCCTGAAGTTGGTAGAACTTAGAATCTTCAAAGATCTTGAAAACAAATTACATATCAGATTTTCAAAATCTTCATCGCATCAATGTGACGTAAAACAATACAGAAGCACTAAAACTTTAAACTAAATGTTTAGTGTCAGTCTTAGGTAAGTTATAACTGACTCATGTTTTGTTCTTTTTGATATTCATCAATAATGTTTTTATTGTTTTATTTGAACACATAAATATTGGTACAAGCGGGCACTAAATACATATGCGCCACACAAAAATTTGTCATTTCATTTTAATTGTGTGAGGGCTACGATACTGTCCCGGGTGCCAAAATTGAAGCAGGTGGTTTTCTTAAGTGGCCACACCCGGAGTCTTCGACCTAAAGGTCTGATCCATAAGACAATGGAGCATCGTAAGGAGATGCAGTCTCATAGTAGTCGGTGACCAACGATTGATTCATACGCCACTTGTTCCCTCAGGATACTGGAGTCGATGTGCACCATTGGTTTGGAATCAGGGCTTTCCATCTCCCCTAGGTGTGAAATTTTCGTGTCCATCAACCCGGTTAAAATGCCGAACATTCGCTTTTCATCCTCTCAATTTCGTAAACAACGCTCGTGGTACGAGAAGGCAGTGAGTAGGACTTCCCTGGCTGAGGCTATGTACGCTTGGCCATATGAGGCAATTTGGGGAGGGAGAGCTGTCACTCCCCACTCTTGGCCGTACCAGGGAATTTGGGGGCGATTAATAGTGTACATGTAGATGGTGTCGAGTCGATTCGAGGATGGACTATGATCACCACTACAATTCGATTACACGCCCAGAAACGACTTGGTTCGTTTCGATAACTCGCAAACTAGAAGACTTCAATTAAAGTGTATTTATTGGCGATCTCGTGGTATCGAAAGAATACCGAGACGTGCCAATGAGTACAGGCAAATTGGGAAGAGCGTAAGAAAGTTCGAACCAAACAAGGCGGATAGTGGAACAAGAAGTGAGATTCATACAATTAAACAAGTACAGTAAAACAATCGCTGGTACAATTGGTTACAATAATAATAATTGTTTTTATTATTCCAATCGTGTTCTTGTCGAGACAAGCCGGTCACTACATACAAATTCTATTTCTGAAGGATTCCTAACGATTTTGGCGTATGAACTAATGATATAAAAAGTGGTTTAGTTGTTTAAATTAACTGTCTGAATTAACTAGCCCCTAGTAAAAGTGGAAATATTGTCATACTATAATTTGTACATTAATATATCTAATTTGTTTCTTTCAAACTCAACAAAATGTACACAGTATTTTTTGTTCCTGGTCCTAATTAATATTTCATAAAATAGACAAATTTTTTTTATCAGAAGGGGTTTTCTGGAGGTTGAAGCTAGACGACCAGGGAAAACCTGGAAGCACTGGACGGCCATTTCGTCCTATTGTGGGACTCCTCGGTGGCAGTGCGCATCCACGATGCCTCACTCGCGAGATTCGAACCCGGGACCTTGAGTTCCTTGAGTTCTAGTGGGAAGAAGTGACCAGTAGAGTTCTACCAAGTCTGTTGTAGAGATAATAACTCAATGAAGACAATCGGTGAACGGTTTCTCAAAATCGTAGATTGGTTGAAGTTAGACATTAACACCGTTGGATGTCGGCCGGCTCAGTGGTCTATTGGTTGAGTGCTCTGGTGTGAGACTGGTGGGTCCTGGGTTCGAATCTCTCAAGGCGGGATCGTGGATGCCTACTGCTGAGGAGTCCCACAATAGGATGAAATGGCCATCCAGTGCTTCCATGTTTTCCATGGTGGTCTTCAATTGACTTCAATTGACTCATGATTTCAACTATGAAAATACTAAATTCTCCACAAAACCCCTTTTGAACTTTAAAATAAGCGGAAGGTATTCATAAATTAACAAAGAAAACTAAGCTAATGAAAATATTTTAAAAAAATGAATACCATATCATATATGTGTGTGTGTCAACATGTTTGTGTTTGTATACTACTATCCTAATGAAATGAATAACAGTCTATTTTGATTGGTTAATTAATTGTATTGTTTAAAAATAACCAATCAGAATTCAATAAAATCAGCTGGTAAATTGATAAACTGTAAGAATTCCATTAGATAACCTTCATTTTGATTGGTTATCCTAATGGTTTGATGTAATATATAAACCATTTTCATATTGACATGAAATTATTTTAAATACCTTTTGACTTACCTTCGGTATTAAGATGGATTATGTATGTTTCTAATTGGGATTAGATATTTCCCTTTTATATATGTAAAATGATCACATAAATGCTGACATCCCGTGAAATAAGATCATGATTATGTAATAATAGTATGGATACATATCAATTATATTACGGTATACAATGCCTTTGATATATCATATCTCATGAGTTGTGCTGTGGATATTTACGATTCTGGTCCTCATTTTAAATGGATTACTCGTAATAGTATTGATATGAATGGAGAAAGAAGTATAGGTTATAATCAATTTTTGGATTCTATACGTTTTACAATTCAAGATCTTGTTCAACAAGAAAGTTGTATTGGTTCATCAAATTATCCAGTTGATAAACCATCACGTCTTGTTCAAATTGAATGTCGTAAGCCAGGATGTCGTTGTGTACTTAAAAATGAACGTGCTCTAGCTATGAAAATTGTTCCAGGAATAACATTGGTTCAAGCTGAATGGTTATTACCAAATTCTGTTGTTTCAAATGGTGAAAAATCTAGATCACACCATAGTTCTCAACATGCTGTAAATAATACATCTAATAATAAAGTTGCTTACAATCAGAGTGTACCGAACGTGAATCAGATGAAATCATCTTATTCACATTCAGTTGTTCTTACTTCTTGCTGTCCATCTTGGTTCGAATTAGTACGAAGAAATGTTATTGGACCATCTGATAATGGACCTCAAATTTGTCCAGAAGTTCCTGTCTGGTCAAGTTGTAAAGCAGTATGGCTTGCTAAACCAAAATTTATTTTATTAAGAAAAGATACTCAGTGTTTATTTGCAACGAATACTCAATCACTTACTATGAGTTCAACTGAACTACTTAAAAAAGATGATCGTTCCACTATAACACTAGATGCAGATAATATTGGTATTCTTCGACCTGGAACTGTATTACAATTAATTGATTGTCGATCATGTCGACTTGTACATAAAGAAGATCAAATTTCTTATCGTCTTTCTACTCGTCATCGTTCAAAACCAGTTTCTATGCTTCAATGTGCAATTGTTGGTGGTAAAGCATTAGCTGCTTTAGCTTCATCAATTACAAATTTATCTTCACAAGATGCATTGAATTGGTTTAATAATGGTCCTAGATTAATTTATTTATCTTTAGCTTCAAAATCAATAATGTGCAGTCCTGTGAAAACAACATCCACCATTAACATCAATAATAATTATCGTAATCATAATAAGAATTCTAGTCATATTAAATTATCAAGTAATGAAATAGATTATAACATTTTTGATAATGGAGTTCATAGTATCTTATCGTTGTTAAGCACTTATCGACTCCCTCTAATTACACGTCCTGTAGTTGGATTACGTTCAACTGAATGGTTTCTAATGGGTAAATATACAAATCATTCATCTATATCCAATTCTGACACAATCAATATGAATTCATTGCTACAAATATTCTCATGTCATCATGGTGATCTGATATTTTTAGAACCTTTATCTGATTGTACTAAATCTGTTTATCAGAATGAATCATCAAATGAAACAATGAAAAGTCGTTTTTTTGTAGTTACTACTGATATGTTATTACATCATAATTTTTTAGTTGCTGATTTACAAACATGTCAAGCTTATCAACAACAACTTGAAATACATGCATTTAGAGTATCTCATTTTCTAGCTGCATGTCATCCTGTACAAGGTTTAACATATATTATAAAACATTTAGAAGATATAACACATTCATCTAATACTGGACCATCATATATACCATTGACTAGAACACTTGGACCAATTACTAATCGTTTTAATACTATTGCTATACAATCAGCTATATCAAGTATAGCTGCTATTGCTTCTTTAACTATGCATGAAGAATTGAATGATATACCAAATGATTCATATCAATTGAATGAGATTCAACCAAAAGTATTGAATCACTTAACATTACATAATCATAATAATCCTATCTCTACTACTACTACTACTACTACTACTACTACTAACACTACAACTACTACTACTTATTATCATAATAGTAGTATTCATAATCCCATGCATAGATCATCAATTGATAATCATCACTTTTATCATTCAGCTAATTGTTTAACTAATACTAATTTACATACACAATCTAGTTTATCATCATCATTATTTACTAGTGAAATGGATGAAATGAATGCATTATGTGATGAAATTGAAGATATTTATTATTATGTACGTAATGGACATTTTCCAATGCAATCTCATTCATTATCTTCATTATTACATCATAGTCAAAAACAACCACAACCACATCCACATCATCATCATCATCATGAAGAGAAGAATACATATTTGAATCATTTATCAGCTCCAATTTCACCATATTTAAACAAATTCGTTACTAATACTATTGATACTACTAATAATACTACTGATATTACTACTAATAATCAGTGTTTATCAATTAAAACAACCAATAACAAACTATTGAATAATGAATATCCTATAAAAACAAATCATCTCATTGATAATAAGATAATTAATATACCAATGAAAATAACTAGTAAAGCACCAGTTTTATTAATTCGTCCTAAACCATATCATGATTATTATTGTTATAATCAAATGGATGAGAATGATAGTAAGGGGATTACTCAATTAACTAATACAGTTATATCAACTAATCAACAAACTACTACTATTACTACTAGTACTACTACTACTACTACTACTACTCATAATAACAATAGTAATGTATGTGGTATGAATTATGGTAATTATGTATTCAGTGAAACACCCATAGCAACAAAATCATGTCATCAATCTATTCAACCATTATCATCAATTAGAAATGATCATGGTAAACTGCAAGTTTCGTCACATACTTTTACTCCTATTACTACTATTAACAATAATAATCATAATAATAATAGTACTAGTCGAATTGATAGTTCAATGGCATTTACTCCTTTAGTGTATTCTTCCACTACTTGTCATGAAAGTTTCCCTCATTTTACCACAACAACAACAACATATGAATGTGAACGTGTTAATTTCACTGTACCATCATTGGTACGAACGAATGGAACTGGTTATTATTCAACTCAAAATATGACAAAATTCGATACTAATCATAATAGTAATGCTAATTCATGTACATATTCTGTTGGCCACACTGTTCAACAACCTATTCATTCTATGAATAAACAATCTTCATATTCTGGTATGTTACCATCTTATTGTTCATATCTACCTGGCTTAGCAACAACAACGACAACAACATGTTGTTCACATGGGATAAATTACTCATTGAAGCCATTGTTTACAACATCAGCATTGAATATATCCTCATCTAAACAGAATTGTATATATCATAGAAATGAAAATAAAACAGATGAGTGTATTTATGATGAACCAAAAGAGGAATATGATTCTATATCAACACCATTACAACAACGACAACCTCAACAACAACACAAGACAATTTGTAATCTGTCAAATCATTCACCTTATGATTATGGATATAGTTTATCTTCACCAAAACATCATGATAGACATCATCTTAGTTTATCGTCATCTCATATTCATCCATCTATTAGTAGACGACCAATGTATGGAAAGGATAATTCTGTGGGAAATGTTTGGAATTCATCGTTTTCTGTCAATAATCATAATAATAAAACAACTAATGTTTCCAATACTACTAATATCAAAAAAAGTAGTACTACCTTCCATTCGATTAGTAATATGTTCAATGATAAAGTGACTAGTGCAGTGAATTGTATACAAATTATTCCATCAATGAGTATTTCATCAAATGTTTTACCTTTTTCAACGATCACCAATGTTACTACTACTACTACTACTATTAGTAAAAATAATAATAATGTAGGTCATTATTTCACATCACAAGATCAGCCATCTTGTATGACAACAAGTTTTCGTCATCCATCTGCACAGAATTCCTCCTCATCAATGCAACAACCACCATCTATGCCATTATTATACCCATTACCAGTATCGACGAATCATACATCCAGACTATATCAGTCTACGATAATATCTCCATCGATTGATAGGAAACAAATTATTCCACGACCATCATATAAACATGTGACTTCAACGACAAATTTCGATTTCAGTATGTATCATTATCATAATCATTCAACAATCCCATCACCATTATCCACTATGTTATTATTACAATCACCTAAACTTAAACGTACTGAATTAACTAATTCATCACCAGATACAGGAATTGGTATAGAAAGTACATATGATCAACAGACTACTACAAGTACTTGTACAGTTGGGTCTTTTATTCCTTTAAACGCATATCATCATTCATTATCTTCATCAAATATGGCTGTTTGGTCACCATCTCAGTATCATTGCCAACAGTTTAGTCGAGGAGATTCTATGACTACTCCTTCTACAATGAATAATCATAGTATTAGTTATGATAGTAGTCCAGATAAACATTTTAATTCATGTAAATTAACAACTTTTCCTGTTCAAAATAATCATTTGGATATGATCACACCAACTACTACTACTACTATTACTACTACTCATAATCATATAAGTAGTAGAAATCAACAATATGCTTATCAATTTTAAATGAATTACCAATCAATAACCTCAATCATCATTTATTTGTCTTCCGAATAGGATTTATTCAATATCTTACTCATACTGATGGATAACCTTATCCGGTTTGTTGTCATGCTTTCATTTCAACAATACAAAAAACGGACGTATACATAATCCACATAGATATCAGGTGTTTGTATAGTCTATTCTATTTATTTCACATTCATTCTTTTTGTGAGTAGTTCGCTTATTTTTTACTAATGTGCCTCTCTAACCCCTTATCCATCCCCCACCCCGCCCATTTATTATTGCCTTTAATCAATTTTTGTTGCTAACCATACAATTTAGTCAACAAGTGAACATCAATATTTATTGCTAATTATGTACACAAAAAAAACTATACTGATACCAGAGGTAAAGCCTCATAATAGGCCATTGCATATCTTCTTACCTTATAGTTTTATTGTTTCATTCTGAATACATTAGATAGATGATAGTTTTATAGGCCAATATTGATGTATAAAAAGTCGTATATACATCCCTATGATAAAGTACCAGCAAACTTTTGATCGGCTATGGAAGATCCAGATCTTTTTTTCTTCTAAAAACCTTGTTCATATGTATAAATACAATAAGATATTACATCGCATGTATCCGCGTGCACATATTAGAGGAGGAGGAGGAGGTGGAGATACCAACACACACGCATAGACATCTACAACAATGAAACTAATGACTTATGGAGTTGCCTTGTATTTATGACACCGATTATTCTATACAGATATTTTATAAGCATAATCACTACTGATAAAAATAATAGTAGTGTAACTAATTCTTTTGTTGCCTTATTTCTTCTCATTTTTGGTCTTCGACATCTTTTTTGTTTGTTTGTTTGTTTGTTATTATCATTACTTTGTGTATGTGTGTGTGACCGCCAATATTACAAATGAGGAAGGTAATATTGAAGATATGTTTTTATGAAATATATTTATGCTTATAAATACAATGCCATTTTCAGTCAGTCAATCAGTCACAACGTAGAACTTCGTACGTATGTACATCAGTTCAAGTTGCCATGCCACATTAGAACAGAGATGCAGTTGTCGATTCAAATCCCATAGTGATAGAATTAGTAAGAGTATAAACAGTAATTGGAAACATTAGAGTTTGAAGATGTTATTCAAGGAGTATAATTCAGTGAAATAAATTTGGAAAGAGAAAAAAGATAGAGACATGAATAATTTAGAAGATTAGATTTTAGTAGAACACAAAGAGTGGATGCACCTTCGCCATTGCAAACAATTTTGAGGCATGTCATTCAAGGTCTCTAACCTTTGGTTGCTATCATCTCGTGAATCCCAACCAGGTAGTCTACACCTACCAGCATGGCTCAGTTCAATTGTCAGTGACTTCATGGATTTGTGCCATGTTTTGATCTCAGTCAGTCAGTCAGCTACAACGTAGGACCAGGCACATTTATGCATCGGTCCAAGTTGCCATATCTCGTTATCACAACAAGGCGAACACCGGATTCATAGAAGTAATTAATTTAGTGGTGGTAGTAGTATATAAATCATAGGTTGTATATAAGGATATAGTACAGGAAGGAAGAGAGATATGAAGCAATTTTAGTCTCAAGGTTTAAAGGAAGATAAAGAGTGTATACACCTACGCCAGTGTGATCGATTCTCATCCATGTCACACAGAGTCTCCAACCATTGGTTACGATAGTCACACGGATCCCAACCAGGTAGTCTGCATCTGCCAACATGGCTCAGACTAGAAGTCGGTGACTTCAAACACTGATGCCATGTTTTGGTTTGGCCGCCCCTAACTCTCTTCCAACCTTCCCCAATACTAGTCAGCATAGCACGTCGTGGTAATCGGTGTTCAGGCATACGTAACACGTGACCCAACCATCTCAGTCGATGAAGATTCATCACCTCATCAACTGATTTACCATCGTTCCCTAATACCCTGTGTCTAACCTCACTATTACTTACCCGGTTATCCCAGCAGATGCGAGCAATATTTCTAAGGCATCTGTGGTCAAATACTAGTAACCTACGAGTATCTTCTACTCTTAATGGCCATGTTTCGCAGCCGTAAAGTAGAACAGAGCGAACTGATGCGCTGTATACTCGTCCCTTAATTGATAGACGGATATCTCGTCTTCGCCATAGGTGACGTAAGTTGGCAAAAGCCAAACGAGCTTTTTGAATCCGTGCTGAGATTTCGTCAGACACCAACCCATTAGGGCTGATCAGACTTCCAAGATAAGTGAAGTTGTCCACGCGTTCGACTTCTTCACTCCCTATCCTTAGTTCAGGTGTTGATGCAGGCCAGTCCTTGAGTAACAATTTACATTTGGATGGGGAGAATCGCATCCCAAACATCCTGGAATTATTACTGAGTTCCAACAGAAGACTCTGCATTTTGCCAGCGTCTTCACCAAACAGGACTATGTCATCTGCGTATTCTAAGTCGATAAGTGAACCTCCTGGTAGGAGATCAATTCCTGTAAATGCAGTCGACCAGAGTGTTATTTCCAGCAACAGGTCTATACTGAAGTTAAACAAAAATGGGGATAGTGGACAGCCTTGACGGACACTATTTGAGGTTGTAAAATCATATGACAGTTCGCCATAAGCTCTCACTCGACTGGTAGTGTTCGAGTAAAGAGCCTTCAAAAGGTTTATGTACTTCTCAGGCACACCTTTCAATGACAGACACTGCCACAGAACCTCTCGGTCTACAGAGTCAAATGCTGCTTTCAAGTCAAGAAAAACTATCATTGTCGGACGCCGATAAGCGTGTCTGTGCTCTAAAACTTGACGAATGGTGAGTATGTGGTCGATACAGCCACGACCAGGTCTGAAGCCAGCCTGATTTTCTCGTGTTTGCAGTTCACGAGTCTTAGTTAGGCGCCCGATAATTATTGATTCTAGTATTTTAGATGCTATGTTAGTCAGACTAATCCCTCTATGGTTATCGCAGGATGATTTTGACCCCTTTTTATATATTGGGACAATCAGTGATTGTGACCAGTCGGATGGGATTACATCCGTCTCCCAGATTTTAGCCAGAATATTAGTCAACCTAATCGTTTTGATCTGGCCGCCCCTAGCTTTCTTTCAACCTACTCCTACACCATAAAACATTGCCCGTCGGGGCAGTCGGTGGTTGGGCATAGGTAACACGTGTCTCAGCCATCTGAACTGATAAAGTTTCACTACTTCATCAATCGACTTACCATCCTTACCTAGTACCCGTTTCCCAACAAATGCATTACTTACAAGGTGGTAATGGCGTTTTCAATTATATACTAAAGAAAAATACTGTCTGTCTGTCTGTCTGTTAAATAAGTTGAATGAAGAGCTTCATAAATTGGAATATGCATAAGCTCATGTGAAGATTAGGGCTCTGTCGTAGTCAGTGACTTAATCATTAGATAATACTGTTCCATTAACTAAACAAATATTTACTGGAGTTGTCAGTTGAGTAAGTTGTATAAAATGTAACCAGTCACTCAATGCGAAACCTTAATTTCAAGTTCCAATGTCAGTAGTGAAAGTTGGTCAATCAACAGGGTAGAATTCAATTTTCATTATATTTTTTCAGAACTGGAATCGATTTAGAACATTTCTAAATGAGGTTATTATTGTTTGTTTAAACATCAACTCTGAGATGTGGCAGGTACATCCAGCTGACGAGTTCAAAATAGGACGAAGCGGAGCGCGTTCTGGATTCCACTGCTAGCCACTATCCATCTTTGCTTACAATGCTTGTGAATTAAGGCCATATCGAGGCGATACGCACAGTATGCACATATGGCCAATTAGAGACTGACCAGTTGCAATCCTAAACATCAATGGAAAGATTCAAACAAACAATATCAAAAGAATTTAAACTTAACCCCTTGGCACAAGCAAATGGCTATCAGGACTCAATAGCTGAGTGGGTAACATGATGGCGTTTGAAGTGAACGCTACTGAGTTCGAGTCCCAGAGTGAACATCAACTGTGGGATGTGGCAGGTACATCCAGGTGTCGAGTCCCAAATGGGATGAAACGCACGTCATGGATTCCACTGCTATCCACTATCCATCTTTGATTACAGTTCTAAATAAGGTTATTGTTGTGACTTTTGCACGTTAAATGTCACGTGACTTATTCCTCAATCGGAATATGACTTGTACAATCGTAGCATTATGTCAAACCAATGACGTTCGAACGGTATGAGCATCCTACCGTCCTTATTAATTCTTTTTCTTGTCTAATCCTATCTGTTGATTCCAGAACATCAATAACAACTTACATCATGCGAGTCATTTATTTCAGACATAATTAGTTTATATACCAGCCAACACAGATCATATCACATCATAAAATAGGAAATGATATTTGTATTAAATTTAGTCAGAAAGTGGTTGTGAGTGTGAGAGACTATTACTAATAAATTGTGAATATCTTAAGTATAGTAAACCGTATGATAATAGGGTTATAGGTCAAATGGAAACTTATAATAAGAGAAATAGTTATACAGCAATGATATAAGATTAGTTCATTAATAGTTCTCAGAAGTTACCCATAATTTAATCTTCACTAAGATATAACAGTTATTAGTGAGAATTCCTAATTTTATATTATAGTTCAATTATCAAGAATGTACTTTTATATACAGCTGAAACTATACATATATCTCAGCAAAATTCTTAATTTCATCGATGAATCGACCGTTTGGATTTACAGGACAAATCATCGGTGTATTCTTCCCAACAATTATTTATTTATTTATTTAAATACATAAATATTTGTACAAGAGGGTACCAGATACATATGCGCCGCATACATCATATTTGATTTGTGTGAGGGCTGTAATACTTCCCGGGTGCCCAAACCGAAGTAGGTGGCTTTCTCAGGGGGCCACACCCAAAGCTTTTGACCTAAAAATCTGATCGACAAGGCAGTGGAGCATCGTAAGGAGATGCATGACGGTAGTCTCCCAGTAAGAACGTAACGCAATAT